TCATATAATATAATATTTATTTATTTTCGTCATAGTAACTACCAATTTTTCTAAACTGCTTGTATAAACTACAATCATAATTGAAATATTTTAAAAATATTATATTATATTAATCAATACAAATTCGAAATGAGTTAAAAAATAATATTAATTTATGTAAAAGTTTATAATATTATTATGTAAACTCGGCCCGTGTTTCATTATTCAGACTAAAATAAATTTCTTAGTTCTTACCAAATCATATATGTCGGAGACTACCTACATTTGTAGGAGTTTACTATTCCCCTATAAATTACGTTTTGCATTAATTATCATTTAATAATATACTATACATTACGTATTAAAGGTATTATATATTTTGTTTTGCGGTGTTTAATTATTTTGGTTATCGCTTTCCATTATACGTGCAAATACTTGAAAATTAAAAGCTATCGTTAGGTGACATTGTCAAAGTTTTAGGACAACTTGGGTGGGCCAACTTCTTGACTTTGACAGCTCTCACTGGTCACCCAAGTTACTTGCAATTATTTCTAAAAATGGACTTGAAAATTGTTGTTAATCATTAGCTTTCGTTTGATACTGATTTCAAAGTTCTGGGTCAAAATGGATGGAGGACTACGTGAAGTAGGTCCATTGAATGTTTTAACTTGCAAATTCTAAAAATAGACTTGCAAATACTTGCTTATAACTTGCAAAATAATGGCATAGATTTTAAAACAATGGCAGTATTTAGGTGTGCCTACTTCACGAACGTAGCACAAATGAGGGGAATCGCAGCAACATAAATCATCACAAACGAAAAAACCCAGAGTTCAAACTCAAAATGTTTAATGGGCGTTGAATAATTTAATTTAAACAAAAAACTGCTAATGTTCACATAGGCCCCATAATGGGCGTGCTGAGGACATGCGGTATAAATTTAATACCGTAATAATGTAAAAATAAGATTTCCATAATCCATACATTTATTTATTGTATTTTTTTTTACCATCGTGTGATAGAATTTCACTTACAAACTACTTTCGCGTCATGACTCGGACGACCGGAATGTACGTTTTTATAGCCTTACGGGCGACGGGTACCTATACTGTATATAAGTAGGCTTATCGTACATCTTAAATAATATTCATTCGTAGAGTAGATAATAATATGGTAAATGATAATTATTCAATATACATAATGTTTTAACTGGTTTTCGGTTTCTCCCGACGAGTCTGTTTAGTAAATTCACGTTAACACGTTTTGCAGCTAGCATTTCAACGCCGTAATAGGTACACATTAAAGTTATTTAAAGATAAGACTCTATATGAAAATTTAGTGAAGTGTCTACAATGATCCAAGTTAATATTTTGAAGCACAACCAGTTCCCTATAAAGAAATGTATCTATATAAATATAATACCATTAGGTACGTTATAATGTACCTACCTATTGTATAGGTATATCATATATATAGGTACCTAATATAAATAAAATGTTCATTTCTGAAATATACCTGTATTATATGCAAGAATACAGGTATAACTACAGATACAAAATATGTATTAATGTA